ACACACACACACACACACACACACACACACACACACACACACACACAGACGGAAGAGATGAGCGATCACATTTCTAGACGATCAAATGCAAGACAGGTGGGTAACCAGACAGATAGGATGACACAGACATCCCAGAGATAGCAGGACGTTCAGACTTTGTTTTTGATCATACAGTTTGAGGCTAAAATCTTTGAACTTGTAATCCTTTAATAATCTGAGGTCTAATAGTTATTTTCAGATGAATAAAAACCAATTCCAATTCCAAGTGATCCTTTCATCCCACGAGCATAAAACACCTGGCCTTACGCCTGTAAGATGCCCGTCTCACATTTCTGCTTCCGACCTTGACTGTGAAAAGGATTTTCTTTTTTTTTTTTTTCTCTGCCTTGTTGTTTGAGGTTGGTTAGATAACATCTATCTGATGATGACTGTGTTGTTGTTCTCCTGCTACGGGTGATTAGGTGACTACAGACTGTGTGGTTGGGTTCAAATGTCAATGGCATTTTTATTTACACCATTTCCTTCATGATCTACAGTTCAACATAATTAAAATGTTTCTTAATCCACATGGATATTCTTTGGATGTAGGTGGCCGGCTGATTTAGTTTGTTGAAAGACAAATTCACACATTAACACGAGATCAGTTCCAGGCCGAGCTGGAAATTAAAAGCTACAGAATACGAGATTGGGAGTATTTCGATTGTCTCAACGGCTTTAAACATGTCGATGGCGAGCCAGAGGCTCATAGCTAACGGTGCTAACAGTGCAATCTATGGCAAAACTGCTGACAGAGCTAACAGTGTTCACCAGAGGGGTGCCTGGAAGGTGGGTGCTACACACGCGTTATCAGCTGCAACCACCGTATGAGAGCAGTGCAGAGCGGCGGCCGTGAGCGAACCAGTGGGGCACGCTCACATGCACGCTCACATGCACTAGAGGCACGAGTGGCCGGCCTGGCTATGTCAACAAAGCAAAGAGAAGCTCAGATAACAACATGCACAGTAGGAGAGCGATTTTCAGCTGTGAGTGCCAGAATAACTAAATTCCTAGAAAATGAGAGTCGACATAACGCATGAAAACCATTCAAAGGAAAGCCCAAGTCTGTGTTGTTGGAAATTCATACCTCAACTATGGTGGTTTTGGCTGCCTTGCACATGGGCTGGTTGAAGTTCCTGGCTGTTTTCCTGACAGAGGAGAGCAAGAAAGAAGTGATATGAAAACAAATAATAATATTTAAATTAAAAAGGCAGAGATGAGCAAGTAAAACGCAAAAACTCTCAGTGTAACATCCAATATCTAGTATCCAGTACGGCATGTTAGTTTACTGGAAGAGACTGCTCTCTTGTGGAGAAATACTTTACTACATCTACTAATTGGTTGGCGCAAATTACCTTACTGATGATAGATGGAGGGTCAATACTGAATTTAGACTGATGAGGATATCCATTAAATTAATGAGTGATTTATTATCTGGATTTTTCTGACTTTGTTCCATGTACGTTGTTAGTGATGATCCTAAACCTAACCGGAGATGAGTGTGCTGTGAGAATAATTCAAGATATAGAAGCTGATGCTGATATATGATATGTTAACACACTTGGATCAAAAGAAAGAAAGGCATGTAGCTAGAAGCAGTCCATACAGTACATCCCTCAAAGATCTTAAAAAAAGGTCAAGGTTCAAATAATTGAATTTCCATTGCAAAGCTCATCGTCAATGAAAACCAATCCCGACCTTTCCTTAAACTGTTTCACTCTCGCCACGTGACATTGGCATCATGTGCAGATTGTTGTGCAAACACGAGCAAGGTGATAAAGATCAGTCTAATGTGCTTTGTGGCAGGAAGAACCTGAATCCTTTACGAGATAAATACTGGTACCTTCCATTTCATCCGTTACCTGAAAATAATATTTCCAGCCTTGTCAGCTTTCCACGCCTTGACCAGTGCGAAGTCTCCAGTTATGGCCTTTTCCATGATGTAGTGCCTGCCATTGAACTCCCGCACCTGTACAATGACAACCCCATTCAAAGAGTGAGTGGCGCCGGATGCAGCGTTTACAGCATTTTCAGACTTGGCCCAGATATGCGAGTCCAGACCGAGGTTAGTCATTACTGCTGATTTTTATTTTTTAATTTTCACACAAGAAAATCAATAACACGAGAAACATTCGTGGCGACGCATCACGCCATCTGTGAAAAGCCTTATTCTGGTAAACATGAACTTTCAATAACAACAAACAATAACTTTCCCTCGTTATTTAAATGGAGACTGAATGTGTGTTTTTGTAATGCAAAGCCTATTTTGAGGACTTCTTCAACCCAGGTCTACATGCATCTTCCACTGTGAAGAAAGGATGGCTTTCACTTCTGGAGAGAACGACAACGCACCACATCCAGCTTCCTGGGAAGCAAAAAAGTGCACAAAACTCTCACCTCTCTCTTCTCACTGGCGATGGCAATGCTGCCATCTTTGTTGTACTTAATAGGAGAGCCTCCCTCTTGGATCAGTGTGCCGTAGCCAGTGGCTGTGAAGAAGGCTGGAACCCCAGCACCCCCGGCCCTGATCCTCTCTGCAAGAGTTCCCTGAAAGGAAAAAAAAGAGTGTCAGATTAAAAGAACACTACAATATATAAGTGTCCACTGCATGCCTTTGTTATAGTCCAGTATATCACATATACAGTATGAGGTCTGATCATTTGGATGTTGGAATTTAACATGTCAAAACCTCCTAAAACATAAAGTTATGTATAGACCTTTCCATGTTTTCTGACCAACCTGTGGCGTCAGTTCCACTTCCAACTCCCCGGTCAGATACTGTCGCTCAAACTCTGCATTCTCCCCGACGTAGGAAGAGATCATCCTCTTGATCTGCTTAGTCTTCAGCAGCAGGCCCAGGCCAAAGTTATCCACTCTGAAGAAAAACATACACATATCATCATGAACCTTTGAATGGGAACGATTAGGTAAATTGTTAATGGACGGCATTCATATGGTGCTCTCCTTGTCTTAGCGACCACTAAAAACACTTTACAACACCAGCCAACATTCACCCATTAACACACACACACACACACACACACAAAACAATTTGTGGTTCAGTATATTGCCCAAAAACACTCTAAAAAAGAGGATTGAACCGCCAATCTTGTGATTAGTGGACGACCGCTCTACCTCCTGAGCCACAGCCGCCCCCAGCCAGGCTACAGTATATTGAACAAATACCGAAGACAGAAAAGTGTGGGTTTAAACTCACATTTTCAATATTCAACAAATAAAGATTTTAAAGAAAACGAGGAAAGGGATCACAGTTTATACAGATTTCACAAGTTGAATGCAGAAGGTCCACATAAGGCTGCTAAAGCTACCTCTAATACAAACTGTCTTAAAGGCTGCAAATGTGTATGCAATCGATTATTTTGTGTTTCATATGTAAAATGAATTTAGTTAGCTTGTAGAGGATTGTTGCCATTTTGCCATTGAAGGATTTTATCTGTTTCTTAAAACAGATAATTTCGTCCACCGTTACTCAATGTAATTCCGCAGTTTGTAACATAGCTTTTATTACCAAAAATCCTCAGGGAGGTTATTCAAAGCTGTTGTAACTGGACCAAACCAAGTGATACGGCTCCTTTTATGTGATCTTAAAGACGGGAACAGCCTATCCACGGCCGTAATGAAGGCTTGTGAGACCACTGAGACATTTGAGAGCATCGCCTTGTTTATTGTCTGGGAAAACCGCACAGAATTATTACTCTGTTTTTATGACGCATGCAGCGACGGCATTTTAATGAACCTGTGGCGCTCGTCTCGGTCAGAAATCTGGGTTACACCTGCTCCACGCGGTGCTATAGGACGTCACACATTCAGACCTTTACATAGCACTGTGACTACTCCTCTCTGGGACCAGAGACAGTCATTGTGTTACGAGGGCTGTTGGGATACTAACGGTTTAGTGAGATAACTGACTTTATGTGGCTGGTCAGTCTTTAACATATGAAGGCATAGTCTTCATACAACTTAATAAAACATATAAAGAGGGTTCTGTCTTATATTTCCCACCCTGTCTTATTACAGGCAGTATTCCTCTGAGAACACTCCAATCAAATCAAATCTGTTTTAATGACCAACCAAATGAAACTTTAAAAATGTTTACTTTATGTTAATGTAAACCTTGGATTTAAGAAATTGTTGCCCTTTATTCCGGTCTCTGATCCTACTGTTCAGAGCCAACACAAAAGCTGAGCTTTGCAAAGAGCGGATTTTCCTTCTTTCCGATATCCCAGGGAGCCGAGAATCAGGAACCACTGCTTTGTCCACAACTCTACTCTCAGATCCTCAGCTGACAAGATATCTAGGTCATGTGCGCTCAGAATATCAAAAAACAGATGACTGTGTTAAGCCCCCCCCCCCGTCCCACACGCCGCTAGCGTTACAAAACATCCAAGACCGTCTATGTCAAAGGGCAAGTCTGACTAACAGTTTGTTATCTTGTGTGTTTGTATGTTTGTTTGAGGACAAACAACACCACGTCAACTTCAACGGGTGGACTCTCCTACCGGGGACAGAGGACAATACAGAATGAAGAAATGCGAGCTCTCCAAGATAAATGTTCAGTGATCAGAGCAGCTTCCAGCATTGGACACAATTTCTGCCTTTCATACAGAATCTATGCTGGTGAAAGCATGAATACAAAGCTGCAGGGGGGTGCCGCTCTGTCACAGCTCAATAATCTCCTCTTGTGTACAGCTGAATCCTCTCATCTCCTATTACAGTGCATGAAGAGCCCACTGTGTCAGTCTTCATCATGCCAGAATTCAATCTTCCCAGAAAACATCAAACACACTGCTCTTACTGTTTCTTACTATTCACAAAAACTTCATTCATCACATTGTCTTGACTCCCATATGTCGTATTTGTAGTATTGCACTTTCACCAGGATTCAGATTATAGCAGTCAGTCTGTGTTGAGAGAAATGGCGTTTATCTCAAAGTGCTCATCGTGGTGGTAAAGAATGTCCTCTCTGTTATCACAGGTGCATTATTCCAGAGATAGAGGTAACACATAGTGTAAAATCGTGTCCTTCCTCTGAGACTTGAAGAGGATTAACATCCCATTCAGGTCTTCAAGAACAAAGCAGCAGAGGAAGAGGAGTTTACAGCTTTCGGAAATCTTCTGTCCAAATTGAAATGTTACACAACTGCCTCTTTCCCCTCACAGCCCTCTTCCCTGCAGACACGCTTAGTTGTCCCCAAAACAAAAAGAGTGGATGTACAGTAGGCCCGGTAGCTTTCGTAAAAGTCGTGTGTTACGCAGTCAGTTTTAAACTCCCCTCGTTGCTATATGAGCCAGAGGCAAGACATGTACTCGTGCATACTATAGATACCATAGTTCCCACAAAAATGTACACGTAGCCTACATGTAGACATGCATAAGATGACCCGCTGTGTTGGGACTGGCTCAGAGACAACATGGCCACTGTTTGTAAGAGGTTGCAATATACAATCTAAGGGCAGCAATGATTGTTCAAAGGGCTCAAGTAAATATTTTGAGAATCAATATCCAGCAAAACCAAAGTCCACGAGAGAAGTCTGGTGAAGAGTAACTTCTGTGAAGCACACTTTGTAGAACAGTGTTTTTCATGCTGAAATAACTACTGGCACAGAGAAATGTATTCAAAGTGTCTGTGCAGAGACTAAGCCATTTGATTTTCCTACTGCACAACTACAATAGGAATCACTCTGTGCCACCACTTGTGACTCTAAACCTCAATTTAGCAGTTTTATGAGCATAGACAAGTTTTTTTCAATAGTTGAGACTGCATTTTAATACTGGTACTGTGTACTGCAATTACAGTAGCGGAACCCTACCATTGGCCCAAGTTACATACATATATATAAGTTTCTGTAGGTTTGTCAAAATATCCAACCGTTCAGTTTGACACTCTTTCAGCAACCGCAATCCACGCACAGTTGTGTAAGTATGTCTGCAGTTGTAGAGATGGAATACAAGTTCTCCAGGAATATATCAGACCATATACGGTAATCTATTTCAGAGTGGGGTTTCTAATGTGTGCTGTATGCAGAGTGCAAATTGGAACAGTTCAGCAATCACAGTTTGCACCAGCAAATCAAGTTGAGGTTAAAGTTCAATATTTTGGTAAGCCAATACTTTCAATGTAGAAATGAAAGACTGTGTGTGTGAGGTGTTGGAACATGTTTGATTGTTGATTCATTGCGGTCCGTAGTCAGTATTTCTGCAGAATCGGTTTCATATTTAAGTAGAACAGGTTCCAGTGACTCTTTTCATGTTTCAATGCTGCTGTGCAAACACTTCATATAAAGCTATACGTTTACTGTGTGGCAGCACATTGGCATTCAGTTACGGAAAAAGATTGCAACATGACAACTGACAAGACTGTTTCCTAGTCTGCAAGAGAGACATCAACATGGTGCTACAAAAAGATCCAGGGAAATTGGGGTAAAAAGCTAAGTTGATAGCATATGGGTAAACCTTTTAATTTGTACTTCTTTAAAAATGAAAAAATGTTCTTTCCAGGATTGTCATGATTCAGGTATTTCCTAAATGATTGAGCCATGAACCCAATGCTTAGTAGAATAAATGACTACGTCTCTAGTTTGAGATTCTCCTGCATATCAAGGTAACTAGACAGAATGCTTAATAAAGGGCATTGATGTCACCTCTGAACGTATATATCTGTAGTTTGTCCCACTGAGAGAAAAGACACACATCACACACCTGACCACTGAAGGAGTCACTGCAACACTGCTTGGTTTGCAAGCACACATTCAGATCCACACACACACACACACTTACCCTGCATTGTTGCTGACGGCCGTGAGACCGTTAACGCCGGTCTTCAGTAAACTGTTGATGAGATTCTCTGGGATTCCACATAATCCAAAGCCTGTGTTGCGCCACACATAAAAAGGCAGTAATGCATTATAAACAAAAAGAAAGTGGAAGCAACCAAGGAGTCATTGCAGAGTGTGTGAAAAGGCGTAGCTATGGTACTTTAAGGTGGAACTTTCACCTAGTAGGGTTAGGAACATGGCAGATATGGAAAAAAGAAAAAACTATAATATTTCCCTCTGTTACAAAACACACAGGAAAACGTTGAATCTAATAACATGATCAACCTGGAACCAAGCCTCAGGTAATTCTAGTCATTTGTCAGTATCACGTGTTTCTAATATTACACTGAGTGAGGCAGATTTCTGTTTGTCCGTGTGTTTTTTCCCCCAGATAGAGGTGACACACAACGGAAAATGTTTAACAATGTCACTCCGAACTTGACTATAAATAAGAGCTGTGGAATTTCTGTGTGCTCTGTGTGTGGATGGTAAACAACCACCATGCCAGACAGAGCGCAAGCTCACTTTGCAGTTAGGTGCTCATTGAACACACATTGTTTTCATGAGTTAACAAAACTTGCACACAGTTACAAACTGAGATAACTTGCCAGCACTTTTCATCGAGGTGTCGATGTAACCATCCTATAATCTTAAGAGTCCGTTTGTGAAAGTGTTGTATACCTTACCTCCTACAAGAATGGTAGCTCCACTTGGGATATCTTTGACTGCCTCTGTGGGATCCGAGTAGAAGCGTGAACTTCTTTGGCTGGAGGTAGAAAAGTAGCAGCCGCAGGACTGCAGGAAGCAGATCAAGAGGCGATTAAAATCAACAACAACACTTCAATTTAGTCTTTCAAAAAGAGCTCCAGGAATTAACTATAAGTGATTCTGAATAAGAACATACCAGTATAACGCTTAAAAAAACATTGCTGGTTAAAACGAAACCGACAGATGCCTGAGGGCAGCTAATATGTTTGCACAGTTTCAGTGCCTTATCGAGTTTACTCAGTTGAGGAGGGGAAAGATAAGCAAAACTGATGAATAAATCCTTCAATAAAAAGGAGCAGAGCTTGAGGGTAGCCCGCGATCAAGAGTCCCAAGACAACAGTTATCTTAGGACTCAAATGAAGTCCTAAGATTCCTTATTATTTCTAATTTCAGCCAGCACAGTGGATTATGAAAGCAATGACATGACTGTATTGTACAACGTCCAGACTATAACTGTTGCATAACGAAAATGTTGTTTGCGTGTAAATACATACTGGTAGAGGTGGATTATGCCAAACACGAGCACACCTTCACGTTGGACGTTTTGACTGTGCGTTATGTAATGCCGCTACAATAAACTTTCTAGTCATTGTTTAATCATTAATCGTCACAATATTATGATCATGTATTCCAGCGATTTACAAGCATCTTGTGTTAACCTTGTCAATTATTGAACCCATCAACGTAACCGTACCAACCTTGCTCAATTGGAGATTTGCCCCATTTAATTTGGTTCTGCAGGGACCTGAGAGATTTTTGAAGAATAAATTCTCCGCTCTGCACAAGGCTTTGAGGGCAGCCATGTTTTGGAGACACGGGGAGCGGAGCACAGTGATAGCTGCAGCCGACGAGACGACAGATGGTGTAGGCTGCTGAAAGGTCGCTGTGTGGCTACCCGCAATGCTAGCTTCCACGTCAAAAACTCAGCGCGTCAATGGGCTGGACTAGCACGCGGTGATACAGAGAGGCTCGGCAAGCTCATTTAAATTTAACCCTTTCACCACCACCACCACGCCACCATGAAGTACTCGGCGAACTGCAAAATGCTTTCACTATTACAGAGACGGTAATGTCGTTTCAAAACCCTCAAGGTGGAATAAGTATCGGAATTGAAGTATATACAAGTGTGGAGATAACTACCTCCAGGCGCACGCGCACACACACAAACACACGGATGTCTCTTGGAAACAGGCATGACACTATGAGCACGTGAGTAATCCCTGGCTCACGTGACGCATACTTTTAGTCATGGCCGACGACTACAGGCGACAGGGTTTTGAGTTGGAGAGAAGGATATTTGAGTTAGACATCAAGTGTTCCAGTCTCAGAGCTGAAAAGCAAGGTATGGACATAACGTTGTTATTTTTGTGTCTTGTGGCCGTTCTTGGCACCTCGTCTGCGTGGCTAAGATTATTGTTCAGTTTATTAGCTAACTAGCAAGCTAGCTAACGTTATCTAACATAGCTTGCAACTATAACAACAGCTGTTGTCTGATGAAATGTTATCGGCAGATAATACTTGCCCAACAGTTAACTAACGGCCGGTGAACATTTAACTTCGTAACTGTTACTAACTGACCGATGTTTGTTTTTGATGTATATGGGTGTCCGAGTTAACGGCTAGCGTAAATTTGCTAACGTTAGCTAAAATGCATTATTGTTGACAAACGTTTTACGTTAGCTGGCCATGAAACACGATGCCACCTAAAAGTAAATAAAATAGGGGTGAGCGTTAACCGTAGAAGTAAAGTTGCCATTATTTTATGTTGAATTCTACCTGTTATATTAGTCATTACATGTAAACATTGTTAAACGCTTGAAAACGTTAGTTCACATTTCATGCCATGATTGTATTAACGTATTATGTTGGCAGTCACATTGCCGTTAGCTTTGTTACGGTAAAACTCTTTTGCATAAACTTGTAAATATACAGTGTCATTCATCAACAGTACAGAAATAATTGGTAACATGTTAATGTGTCGTTCTTCCACAGATGATGACTATTTACAGAATGCGTCTGCCATACTAGACAAGTTGAAAAGCTATTACAGGCAAGGAGGGGAGAGTAGCAACCTTTCCAAGGTGCTTCAGGATTACACACAGGTACTTCATTACACTTCATTAGTGTTTAATATCTGGCACTGTTTTCCATTAATCATTTAGTTTGTAAAACATCATAAAATAGTGAAAAAAATGCCTCTTAAATTCCCTGAACTCAAGGTGATCTTCAGATTGTGAGGTGCATCTGTGTTAGAGTCCAAACCTCAAAGGTATTCAGTCATGCTTACTTTTATTAAACAGGGGAAAGCATCCTTAAATTTGAGAAGGCGTAACCACCAAATCCTTGGCAGGTTTGCTTGATAAATGACATAAGCGATTAACTAAAATTAATTTATTTTTTTGTTTTACCCCTATAAACGTCAAACTTGTAGCCCCTCAGTTTAGCCTTTGAGTTCAAAACCATATGCTATACATCTACAAATAGGGGTAATATTTACTTAACTGATATCATAGCTTTCACAATGTAGGAGTGGAAATGTATGCCCTAACTGCAATTAAGTTACTTAGCTAGCTTTGTACCAAGAGATGCTTAGATTGAGGAAGATTAAAGCCAAGTGTGTGCTGGAGTCAGAGGTTAGTTGTAGATTGTTACGGTTGTCTTGTTGATGTGAAGTGGTCTAAACCCTGACTGAAGAGGCTCAATAGGGTTTTTAGTGATTCTGATTTGATCTACTTTATTGATGAAGAACTCAATATAGTCATTTAGTTTGCTTCGGTTGACTTAAACAGTATTTTTGTAATCGTGAAACTTGTTGCGTAGGTTTCTTGAACATTGTATTCAATGTCAAGTGTGAGTATACATTTGTTTTTCATCCTTTAGGTAATCCTGGACATCACATTTTATGAAGAGAATAAACTGGTGGACCAGGAGTTCCCTGAGGACTGCTCACCTTTTAAAATCCAGCAGCTGCTGCAAGACCTGACCGAGCCAGAGGTTTTGGCAGGGAGGCTAGCACCAGCACAGGAAGTGTGTATATGTGTGTCAAGACCATCTTGTGTGCATGTTTTTAGAGTATTCCTAGTAATGTCAGTTCCACTTTAATGTGGTCTCTAGTTGGTTTATATTTTGCAAAAAAAGAAGTAGCACATATTTAATTCCATGTCATTGTCAAACAGTGCTATTTATGTCTTTTGGTTTTTAATAGGTGCAGTCTATGTTGGGCCTTGAGCTGTTAGAATGCCTCTATTGGAGACGTGGAGCTCTGCTGTACATGTACTGCCACACCCTTCATCAGCGAAAACAGTGGATTAAGAAAAACAAGGACACATTCCTTAAGGTGCCACATTGTTAAGAGATCTAAGTAGATTCAGTAAATTGTCTTTGTGAACAGAAATGTGGGCTGATTCAGCCAGATCAATTTACTTTGTTTTGGTGCAAACAGAAGTTTAGTATGTGAGTTTTTTTTTTTTTTGGCATATGCTGAGATTAGTCCTAATGCTCATCTGACTCTGTTTCAATCTAGTGTATTCAGGAAGGGGTGCGCTACCTAATGCGGATGCTGCAGGTGAGAAACTCTGTGAAGCTCAACGATGGCGTGGTGCTCCATGACACTGCTACAGCAAGCTTCCTATCTGAAGGTAAACGTGTCATCAGTTATCTATGATTAACACGAACTGTTGTGCAGCTTCAGTCAAGTTGGCAGAAAATTCTTCATGTGGGCCATTTGATCATACTCACTACTTACTTATGATTTTGGCCAGGCATCTTCTCAGACACACACCTGTTGACGATGATGTACATCGGGGAAATGTGTTTCTGGGCGGTCAAGTACGAGGACTGCAGTGCTGACACTATGGATCGCAAGGAAGATCGCCTCCAGTTTCGGGACATTGGCACACAGATCCTCAACAAATATGTGCTGGCCTGTGAGGGCCCTCTGCAGGGCCAGGGCTGGAACACAGAAAATGCCAAGGAAATCCTTAGTATTTTACAGTGAACCCAGCTGCCCCTGTGTTGAAGTTGCCCTCGGGCACAGATCTAAGTTCAGTATTCAAATGTGTGTAAACCCCAAATAAAAATGCAATTCATCAGGTGGGGTGTAATCTTGTGGAAGGTACAGTAGAGACATGGGGAGAAAGTGTATGTGAAAGAGAGTCTTTGGATCAGTGTCTACAGGCAACCTCATCCCATGCCAAATGGCCGAGGCCAAAGCAGGTGAAGGAGAGGTTAGAAAGGATGAGACTGGTGGTGTAAAACTGGCAGGGGATGCAGCCGAGGTTGTTAAATAACATTTTGCCCTGTCCTGCTGAAAAAGCAGTTATCATCTTGATTCCAGACTGTTGACTGGGGCACTTATTTTGCTCCGAGAATGTGTTATAATAACATTAATATAAATATTAAAAGGTTATTAATGAAATTGACCTTTTTTTTCTTTTTTTTTTCTTTTTTTTTTTTTTTTAAAGATTTAAGATAATCCAGCTGGAAATGAGACATTGCACAGTAACATTTTATTTATTGTTTTTTTGCTATTTTGTTATGCTTTTTAATATATTATAATTGCATATACATTATATATGTATGTGTGTATACAAATATACACTAAAGGCAAAAGAAAGGTGTTCAAAAACAATTGACAATGATGTATTCATGACTATTTGAAGTATGTTCAGATTTGTTCATACCAGCTTTGTAATGCGCCACTTGTATTCCCATCTATTGCAAAATTACATTTCTCTGCCACTTCAGTAACCTTGATAGTACAACTATTAATAGAGACTCTGTGTTGTTTGGACGAAAATCATTTTCTGTTTTTTATGTCCTCGTTGACAATAAACACGCGCGTTGTTTTAAGAAAAACACGATTTAGCTGCACATTATTGAAAAACACAGTACCCACAATGCCACACTTCAGCCAGCAACAAGGAAGTAAGACGGGTGGATGTGTTGTCATCGCTCACTCCGTCGATATCACAGTGGTTTTACCATCTCTTCGCTTATTACCACTCACTTCTGAAATCATGGCAGGACAGACCCAGCAGCTCAGCGAGTCTGTTGTGATCCGCAGCCTCAGACGGTTCAGGGACCGATATTTCCCAAACAGTGGTAAAGTTGTCAAAGGCTCTTCGACGCCTGTTGTGGACGCGGTAGGAGAGCCACAACCGGGATCTCTGGATAGTTTACCGGTGAGTGAAATTAATGGAATTGTCTTTTGTTTAGTTTGACCTGTCCTAAACTATATAGCCGTTTTAAAGTATATATTCATCTCATGGAGCGAGGTAGGGTCAGGTATGTGAGGTTCAAATGCATTTCTACAATTTCGACGTGTTTCCCTATAGGACATCTAAAGCCTGGAAACTGTTCCTCGCATATCTCGATAACCGCTCCTCCAATCTTCTCACGTGGTGGGTGTATTGATGGGGACCCCATGAAGTGCTTTTTCAAAAATCTAGTGCAATTTTGACACGCGACACGTACAATATTAATCCCATCCTGCGGACAGCCGCTCATGAATACGTCACTTAAACTGCTGGATAGAGTGCTAACCAGTGGCCCCATCCCAATGTCCCCCTTTACGGGCTTTGAGGCGCGCTCCCGCGAAGTCCGTGAGGGTTTGGGGATGTCCCACTGCTAAATCATAGTTTTTGAATCTCTTGCAGACATTTTGAGCCCTTTATGAGCCCTTACCGTAAGTCAGCTGACTTTGTCTAAGGGAATTACCCACAAATCATTGCAATGTGACGTTAAACACGGGTTAACCAGTGGACGCATGGAGACGTAAAAAAAAAGGTAAACAAAGAGGACGGCTCACGTGTGTTCAGCCTGTCATATTAAATTTACTCAGAAACATTAAGGGTTGAAGATGGTACAAAAAGTAAACTTGAAATCAGAGGATATTTATTTATTCATCAAATATTTGATTTTGTCATTGAAGGTGTTTTGGCAAAAACGAGTAAATGGATTATATGAAGTTACCTCTCAACTTGTGAGGAAAGAGCCTGAAGACTTTCAAATCAGGAAGTACAAAGTATGAAATAAATACCCAAAGTGCTGTCCCATTCCTATTTACACTATCTCAAGCCCTCACAGTCTCTCACACTCAACCATTTACCAGGTGACGTCATGACGTCAGTAAGTCCTTGCGGGTTCAGGGTTTGAGGCTTTAGGGGGGACATTGGGATTGGGCCATAGTGAATGCTGGATAACGTCATAACTGAATTTACCTTTACTTCCGTCAAAATGCCCCCTCTCACTACATCCATGCTCTACTTATCAGTCGCGGTCGTTATGTCAAAGCAAGCGACTAACGTGTGCTGTGATGCTGTTTCCTCAACACTCCACGGCACGTTGTTATTCGAACCTTCCGGGAACTTTTGGCAAACATTGGCTGAAGGCCAGGGTTCAGGGTAGGTCCAAGGTGGAGCTTTCTGTTCTGGTTGAACAGGCTTCATAATGCGTCACATTTTAATTGTCAAATGTAATAGTACCACAAATGAATGGACAAGATGTTTTTTACATTACATAAAGTGAAATAAGCTGGTTAAATGTAATAGCCATTGAGTCGGGTGGTGAAGAGACACCCTTTTGTACAAGCAGTTTACTCAAGACCAGAATTCGTTCATTTGACAAAGTCATAGTACTTGCTACTTGCTCTATAGTTTATAAAACTATCTACTGTGACACTTAAAGAAGCCCACATTTTACTGTTAATATTTATGTAGCCAACGCTCACTAAAGTAATATTTGAAATGCCAGGCTTTTCTTATCCTCTTATGTATTTCTATTGATAATATATATTCAAGTGTTAGTGATTGTCCACCGTTTCCTTCCTGTCTCCTTCTAACTAGTCCTTGACACTCTTTTAGTTTAGTTTTGTTGAAATCGTGGTATTAAATCATACCCTCCCTCTTTAAGGTGGACGTACAGTTCCTGATCATGACCTTACTGTCTCCGGCGGATATCTGCATTCTGGGAGCCACCAGTCGGTACTGGAGGGCCATGGTTAGAGATCCAGTACTGTGGAGATACTTCCTGCACAGGGACATGCTAAACTGGCCCTCCATTGATCACGTGAGCATGCCCCAACTGGAGTTGTTGGACGCACCACTAATCAATGAAGACGAGAGCCTGGACGATAGAGAAGAGTGGGGCGACAAAGGGATGGAATCGAAAGTTGACTACATGTCAGAGTGGGTGTCTTTTTCTGTCGTCCCGTATCGAGGTCAGTTTGTTTGAAAGAGATTTTGACCGCCGTTTATGTCTCGACAGATACCTGAAAGGCTGCCCATCCTGCAGACAACAATGGCTTCCCTCACGGCCGACATATGAGGTCATGACCTCTTTTCTCCAGTCTCTGGTGCCCTCATCTGAGCCACGTTATGCCATGTTGGGCCCCGGCATGGAGCAGCTGGACGTGTCTTTAGTCACAAGGCTCCTGCGTGCTCCAGATGTGCTTCCAGTGTCGGGCACTCCTCACAGACAGATAAACGGTGAGATAACTTTTAATGTTGAGTGCTGATGATGAAGGCTATAAGCTCTTCCCGGTCACCATTATTAGCATAGTGACAAAAACACCCCTGAATCAGTTTAAAGTCCAATTTCTTCTTGAGCTGGCACTGGAACAAGATCACTTTAACAAGCAGATAATGTTGATGTGGTTATTTTTACAAACCACACACTTCACTTACTTGTTGTACGTTTACTTTCCTACCACTCGGTGGCAATATTGGCCAATAATTGTTATCAGCTAAGACGTCCCAAGAACCTAACCGACCCTTGTTTTTATACTCTAGGTATTGGCTCAGGGATCAGTTACATGTTCAACAACCAACACAAATTCAATATCCTGACTCTGTACTCAACCAATAGGTAAGCACTTTGTATTCAAAGATACCATGTGAGTTGCAGTTATAATCTGTTTTTCCTGCGTGTCATTGTGAATACTGCCACCGTCATTAAACTGTGTGTGCTTGTGTGTGCAGGGCAGAGAGGGAGAAAGCCAGATTGCAGCAGCAGAGCATCAGTAATAAACTTTTTACCTTTGAAGGAACCGATGACTCAGGCTGTCCAATCTACAGCCCTGCTCCTCAGGTCCAGCAAGTGTGCCAGGTGGTGGACGGTTTCATCTATGTAGCCAATGCAGAGCCTGAGAGAGGTGAGATAAAGATGGCATATCTATTCGCAGCTTCTGCTCCTCTGCTACCACCATGTCGCATCATGCACAGTGTTTTTTTTTTTTGCCACATAAATTGCCAGCGAAGACCATTTGCATGAAAAACCATGTCATCAGTAGGCGACGGGGAGTCCGAGGCGGCTCAGATTCGGGCTGTGCTTAGCTGTGCCGAGGGTTCAGCGACCAGGCCTCTGCTGGTGCTCTCCTGTGTCTCCAGAGAAGAATCGGAAGAAGTCAGGATAACCCGCCTGCAAACCAGTAACAGCAGAAACAGGGCCAGGTGTCGAACTCCCTGTGTCAACATCGCAAAGAGACTCGGACTACTCCAGCTGGCTAACCCTTGGATGGTAATTGAAAGATTAAAAGATTGATAATTGAAATCTATCCAGTGTCAGTTTCATGAGACTTTTTTTTTTTTTTTTTTTTTCAACCTGTGTTTGTGTTTCTCGCCCTTATTCAGGTGCAGGATACAGTAGCAGAATCCCTATCAGGTCTTCTGGAGGGCGTCTCCTGGTTGCTGAGATGTTCGGGAGTCAAACTCTATGGTAGCTAGTTATCTAACTTCTGCTGGCTGCCAGATGAGTGAAAACCACCAAGACACACTGTACGGCATTACCTGAGTAATTTATGCCACATCTGCACTGATGGGTTTCTAACTGTTATTCATCCGGGACAACTGAGAGAGACTCTGATCTTATTTACAGAGAGAGCCAAATGAAGGAGTGATAGCAGGACAGGAGGTTTGAC